AACAACAACAACCACAACAACAACCATCGCACTAGCACTGCTGCTACTGATTCCGCTGATATTCCGACTGAGCCGACGACGAGTGCTACTACTCCTGCTGCTACTGCTACTGCCATTGCTACTGCTACTGCTGCTGCAAGTACTACATTTGCTACTCCTCCTCCTCCTCCTACTACTACTACTACTACTACTAGACTGAGGTTACGTAAACGGTATCCCAGTACCTTGCAGCCCCACATCCCAAAGCGAGTGGCTGCAGACAAAGGAGCAGGCCAAGACGGGGACCACAGGCAATAATGCACTATAGCATGCTATAGCATACGATGATACACGATAGCATAACATACTATAACAGCAGCACGATCAGCATCACCCTGATTCCACACCCCACCTAGGCTCGAAAACGTTCAAGTGCAGCCGCTGCAGTGGAAGAATGGATTCCAACACGAAAAGGGGCAGCTCCTGTTCCGAGCTTCAGTGAGAGGCTCAGGAAGTTGTGGCATACAGTTTCACAGTGCTCCCCAAGTTTCCGACCGTAGTCCAACACTCCAAGATTCCGAAGCTCAGCATAGAATGCTCTTTCTTGCATCGATGCCACAGCGGGAGTCGCAGCATCAGCCCTTAAACACTTCCAACAACAAGAAGCGGTGCGCAAAGCAAACAACTGCCGTCCGGCAGAGGCTGGAGACTCGTCAAAATTACAGACTCGATGTCTTATAAAGAGTTGTGTGAAAGTAAGGAACCCTACAAGGGGCCTTAATGTGGAACGGTGACCGACGGATGTTCCAGCACGATGCTGACCCTGAACGCTTGGGCTTGCGGCTGGGAGTTATAGGAAAATACGGAGGGTTTAGGATGTAGGCTGCTTTGGGGCTCGGAGTTTAAGGCTTCCAGGTCTGGGATGCGCATTTCAGGATTAACGGCTACGGGGCGCAAAGAGTGAGTTCCCGGTTTACGCTTGCTGCTTCAGCATGGGTTCCAAACAAGCTTCTTGGGTGAAGCTGTCAGAGTTAGTGATCCAGCGACACAAAACGCTAAAGCTTAAAGGCATGCTCACCACAATAAAGAGACTGTCGGACTCTGGGTCCCATCACATTCAAAGCCCCAATCCGTGAATCTGAACCCTCCCCCGAAGCCGGCAACGGAAGGCGACCGCTTCCTCTTGCCCCCGTCCTCCTGACCATCCGACGCTGAGCCCTCTGTTTCAGGCTCGGCTGCAGCCTGAGGTCTCAACTCACAACTCCGGAGGAGCGCCTAAGACGACACATGGTAGATATCATCATACGTCGGAACCTTCCTAGTCGAATCACTGACAGTGGTGGGCACGGTAAAGACACTCGCAAGAGCGATGTGTCTTTGCCTTCTGTGTACTCGGGCAACGTTTCGCATGAAAGGTCAGCAACTACAAAGAGTCCTGATGCAGGAGAACAGGAGAACGTGCAGGATGAACTCACCAGGGACGAAAGGCAACGTGTGCAAACTCTGTGGCAAGCTCCATTAGGCAGTGGCCCGACAGATTCATGCAACTTATCTCATGTTGTGCGCGCCTTCTCTGCTGCCGCACGGCTTGCATACTCCTTGCCACAGCTTTCATGCACAGCTAGGCAGATTGTAATCTCGGAAAGTACAGTCATCAAAGGACTTCCTGCCGACATTTGTCTAAGACAACTGTCCTTGGGGAAGTCTTGGCACGAGTGTTGCCGCTATAACTACTGTTCTCACTATCCGGTTACTGTGCTTGCAGGAATTATTGCTGATAGATCACACATGTTATTGGTAGCACGGCATTCGTGTATTGCAATGCTACACACGCAGTATACTCAGCACACTGCTGCTTTGCACCGAGTAACCGGGACTGCCATAAGTGCCTTAGTGTTTGCTGTCTTGCGAGTCTGGTGATGCCGCTACTACTACTACTACTACGACGACGACGACGACTACTACTACGACTACGACTACGACTACGACTACGACTACTACAACGACGACGACGACGACGACGACGACGACGACGAC